CCGGCATTGTTTAGTCGTTGATGCATAGCGCGGTAACACGCGACGTGCACCGGCTCCACCTTTGCACGCATCCACTTACGTGGGATACAAAGCATGTGTGATAGCCGTCGATGTGTGTGCGTGATGCACGGGATACCCACACCCGGTGGAACATCGCCCACACTGCTATTGGTCCATTAGCCAAATAATGAGTACCTAACGCGCCACGTCCCACGCGCTAACGCTAATTTCACGGTGGTTTAGGAAGCGTTAATTAATTTAGACAAATCACCGTGCACGTTCATTAGCATTAATTCATCGCCATGATGATGGTCGACGTGGGTTACGTTGTAGCGTGCGATTCGACGTGTCTTCCACGAGACTCGTCGTCGATGCGGTAGGTATCGATGTATCGCAAGGAGATAGCCTGCCACGTGAGAAGACAATAGCATATTTCGTTTATATATTTTGTATATTGTTTATCGCAGCTAAATATCGATCATAGTATAAAATTATATATAAAAAAAAAAACGAAACGTTTTTAAAAATTTCTAGAAGTTCAAGAAATGTAGAAATAAAATATAATTATTTTTTATTTAATTTTGAAAACTTTTATTTACTAAATTTTCACATACTAAACATTTATATTTTTTGAAATTTTATAGCATTTAAAATATAATATCGAATTCACACATCTAGAAGAATATAGTATATATACATATATTTAAACTAAAATAATTATAGAATGTATTAAAAACATATTAAAATTTGTAAAGAGTTAATTCTAATTTTAAATAATATTATGCCAAATACTTTGATAAAGATCTAGGATTAATGGTTATTGAAAGTATCACGATCAGTATATTACTATCTCCAAGAATTTGCAATTTTCTATGCTATTATCTCAAGCATAAAATGCTTTATATGTTCGCAATGGCAGGCGTCCAAAAGGTCGGTCAACACTATTATTATTACAGGATAAGCTAAGTACAGTTATAGCGCAGTTAGTTTCAGCTTAAAGATTTATAATATCTGAATACAAGTGTGAAAAATGTTATATCTCAAATATCCATTAAGATAATAATATATATACAAACTTAAACATATTTCTTGTTATCAAATCCAAATTATTAAAATATATAAAATATAGTCTTTAATTTTTATAATTATATTGTATTTTTTTACATATCTAATTCATAATATTTTTATAATCTGCAAAAAAGACCATAACGACATCCGATAACGACATTATGAGATTTGACTTCAATTTTAATCTTACCAAATTAAATTATACATTAATTAATTAAAAAATAATATTTAAAATCTATACCAAATTAAAAAAATATATTTGACTAATATTTTATAAAAAGTTATTTGCATGCTAATCATCCTAATATTAATTGTAAACGCGTAAAACTTTTGAAAAATATATCCCGTCAAATGGCCTCATAAATAACATGAAACTGCCAAAAATATTCAATCCAACTTTCCCATGATTCTCACGCGATAATTGATGGATACATGTGCTACAAGGTGCGGAAAGGAAGCAGTTTAGAGATACATACATTGCATCCTTAAATTAGGGTGTCTCGTAGTAAAGGACCGTGTGCATCTGCATTTGCGGACACAGCTTGTAGACACAAACTGTGACGCAAAACGTCAGTCATTTATCTATCTCGTTTTATAAGGCAAAGAATGTTCCTATAGAAAAAATGCATCCGGCATGTTCTCGAAAATGTCGCATGATCGATGAAACACGTATGTTAACGTCTAACTTGTGAGTATAAATGATACAGTGATTAAGAGATTTCCCGTTGAAAAACGTTTCAAAGTATTAACGGTAATCCGTGATTGATGGCTCGACATTAGAGACTGTGATGTGTACCATATTTTTAAGATTAATTAAAAGTTGGAAAAAGTAATACGAACTGAGCAATAAATAATTATGAAAGTTTTATATAATATTGAAATCACGAAATTAATAGAAATCAGTAGGTATTATTTAGAGTGATTCTTTATTATTTATAAATTATTTATAAATTAATATTTCATATAAAAAAAAATATTGCAATTAATTTTATTTAAAATATTTTAATTAAATTATTCAACTTATATCTAATTATACTACAAGAATCATAAAAAATTGTCGTGAATAAATATACAGGGTGTCTCCAATTTAAATGTCAAAACTTTAGGAGCGTGTAGGGGACCGATAAACTAAGACAAAAAGTCCTTTAGAGATTGGCTCGTTTTTGCTTCGTTTTGAAGAAAATCGCAAAAAATGAAACAAATAATTTTCACCAAAAAACTTAAAACAACACTAAAATTATTAGATTTATCAAAAAGTATTATAAAATAAAAATTGTAGAACATGGAATTAAGAAAAGAGAGTGAGTTAAAATTTTCCTGAGGTAAAATTAGAGGATTGTAGATAAATACGCGACAACGCGAAACTTTGTTTCTAATCTAATTTTACCTTAGGAGGATTTTAACTCACTCTCTTTTCTTAATTCCATATTCTACAATTTTTATTATTTTTTATATTCTGCAAGTTTTTTGATGAAAATTATTTGTTTCATTTTTTGCAATTTTTTTCAAAACAAAGCAAAAATGAGCAAATCTCTAAAGGACTTTTTGTCTTAGTTTATTGGTCCCCTACACGCTCCTAAAGTTTTGACATTTAAATTGGGGACACCCTGTATATAATACAATTAATTTAATAACATATTATTGTTTATTAACGCGAGATAGAAATTATTGGCTAAGATGCTAGTTATTTAATTTTTAATTTACTTTTCGAGAAACACATTTTTAGAAACATACGATAAATATTTTTATCATTCACATAAAAACTTAAAGCACTTTTCCTAAATATATATAGTTTTCTTTTAACGAGATGCTGTGTAAAAAGGAGTTATCTAAACGTAACTTTACGGTATAATCTTCCACGTCTACAGTCGACTTTTTGGGAGAATCCCGAAATTCTCAGGCCGTAATAGAGACGTTGAAAGATCAGGCCCGGTTAAACCGTAGTCATATCGACTGTGTGATCGTTCGGAGGGCGTGGCGCCGGTACACTTGAAGATCGTTTGACACAAAAGCTGATCCGCTTCCTCCGGGCCATGTTATTAACTTAACATACCTATACGTTCGGTCTTTCACGACCGAAGATCGACCGAGATCAATCGCGAGCACCTTCATCGCCGACGCGCCCAAAACTCCTTTTAAAACGCGCCGAAAAATCCGCTTTCTCTCTCTCTCTCTCTCTCTCTCTCTTACTTTCTCTTATTTTATTCGCCTGCTATGGGATTCACTATCATCAACGATGTCGAGGAATATTTTAAATAATTTGAAAATATATGCAAAGATGCTAGTACCAACATTTTAATAAAAGAAAAAAGAGAGAAAAAGAGAAAGATTCAGAATTATATATAAAAAATATATTTTCTTATTAAAAATATCTACTTATATGTAGCATAAATAAAATATGATATATATTTATACGTTAAGATTAAAAATTTATATGTTAAGTTTAAAAATTTTTATTTTTCGGAAAAGAAAAATAAAAATTTTTTAAACCTAAATCTTAATATTTGTTTTATTTGTTTTTCAATTGTTAGTCGGAGTACTATACAAATATAAATACTAGTGTAAATACGAGTCACGAAAAAAATTCGGTTTACTATTTATGTCATTCTATGTATATAAAAAAATGTAAACGCGCAATACAATTTTGAAATAATCGTTTGCAAATATCCCAAGTATGTATCGTTGAATATAATCAGTATATTTTCAAAAATATTTCATCATTTCAAATATTTAAAAAAAAAATCTGCAATGGATATGAAAAAATTAATTTGGTTTAATAAAAAATTTAATCGGATTGAAAATGCTGTGTTAATTTGTTTCCCTGCACGAGTCTTGTTCGCGAATTAAAAGAGACATTGTGAAAATATAGCAGTATAGACAAAGAGAGAAAGAGAAAATATTTCATTTCAAAATGTTTTTAAAATAACTATTTTTTCAATTATTTTATTAAAAGATAAAGTTAAATTAAATTTCTTATATTTTATTTTAAGATAAAATAAATGTATGTAAGTTCTTTGCATTTGATAAAAAAAAAAAAAAAAAACTCACCTCGAGCCAGACATATTAAAAGCGTAAGCCGTCTCGCCCGACGCTGGAGAGAATTCGTTCCACTACCAATCTCCTTTCCCTCATCGCCGAACCTCTAATTAACCGATAAGATCTTAGAAAATCGCGGGAGTCTTTTACGCGACTGTGGAGAAAAAGGGTTGTCGCGATAACGATAACAGCAGCGACAGTTCCCGCGTGTGCGCGCGTTGATGCGCGGCAACAATCCTCGCCGGTACCTGAAAAAAAAAAAAAAAACAGCACGGTTGAAACAGTGGCAAAAAAATAGATCTATTATTAATTACTACAATTATTGCTACAATAATTTGTCATTTTATTTCCAATAAAAAAACCAAATGATATTAAATAATTTTAATTGCAAATTAATAAAACACACAATACTATAATGGAGTATAGTAGTAAAATTATCTATATAATTTTTAATAAAGAGAAAAAAAGTAAATATTTATTATAAATCTGCCGACGTTGAAAAGATCAATGAATTAAATGCTTATTAAGCACCGCTCTCGTGCAACGTTTACTACATACATACGTTCATTCACGCGCACGTGGGTGTCCAGCTGTCCGGTCCACGTGACTGTCATGACTCGCCACTGTTTAGGCGCGAAGTTGAGCACAAAAATTGTCGTAATCGTTACCGACAGAGTCGATTGCATGTTCAACATATAATGGATAAGGCCTATATTTATATCAATCACATGCGTTGACTTACGTCTTAGATTCATGTTTACGATTTCTATCGACAACTTAACGACGATCTTAATGGCTAAGGCTCTTACCGCGTAACGATGACGTGAGATTTTAGACTAGCTCGGCTAGCCTGCAGCGTAATGTATACATCTATACATATATGTATATGTACGTACCTTGCGAGGTTTCAAAGCATGCACCACTTTCGGTCGTAGATACTGCTGCGCTAACAGGAACGTGACAGAAGCGATGACCAATAGCTCGGCGCCTTTCCGAAATCTCTTGAAGTCATTGTCAACACGCCGCGTTGCATACACTCGCGTGATATTGCGAAAATATCGTGCGTACGACGAAACCCGTCGCGACACGCAGGCTATCGTCGCCATTTTCAATATGGTCGACTGAGTCGACTGGCGCGTGCGCGTGCTCTCGTGACGTCAAAGCTTCTCTTACCAACTTATCTTCTACTACTCTACAACGGCCAGTGCTGCTGTCAGAAATTTTTGCGCCTGGAAATGCCTAGATTTAATGCCTAGATTTAATCTTTTTTTTTTTTTAATTAAATTTATGAGATGAAATACTTGGCACGGTTCTTCCCGCCAGGGAGTTTAATTACAATTTTTCACAGCGAGCCGTTTCATAATTTCTTACGATTAGTATAATTTTTTTAAGATTAATATAATTTTTTTTTATCGTGATACATGCATTGCGTCGTATCAATATAAAGCTCCTAACGTCATTTCATAGTTGGTAACAAAACGTCGACATCGCGAATGCGGGACAAATTTAAATCGCGACTAATTTAATTAATAAATAAGCCATAATTAGAATGATATTTTAATTTTCAACTGCATAGCGTATAAATACGACGTTTGTGTGAAACCATAATTTATTAAAACCTTTATTGTGTCCACGAATATACAAAGTTAGTCTCTAAAGATATCACGAGTATCGATCTACGCGCGCTATTCCCGCATTATTTTCCCGCCATAATCAACGTGAAACTGCCGACGTCACTCTGGTGTCGGTAACGAAACGTCGCGAGCGTGTGGCGGATCGATCCTGAATCGCGACGCTTTAAATTGGTAGGTAATCCATAATAGATATATTTTAATAATGTTTGGGAGTAGTATATAAATATACGGCGTGTGACGTATCATTGTTTATGCGCGGTCACACGTTGTTGTCATTCGCACGGTGACATTCTAATGGATCGGCAGCGACGCGACACGCTCCGTATGTTACGCATTAATTTTCGAGACGCGATTTTACAAGAGCGGGGAATTATAGGATTATTCTTTGATGAATAATTAATGAGTATAATTTCGCATAATTATTTAATTTGTACGATTAAATAAGTAGCTTATGAGTATATCGGGGCGACGACTTTTGTTTCGAAGGAAATATTTTGCGCGCTTTATTCGCTTGAAGTAGGTATCGACGTGAAGTCAATCGATGTAAACTACTGATGACGTCATTCCGGTGTCGGTAACGAAACGTTGCGAACGCGAGGCGGATCGATCCTGAATCGCGACGCTTTAAATTGGTGAGTAATCAATAATAAGTATTACATCTTAATAATTTTCGACTGCGTAATGTATATAAATTCGACCTGCGACGTAGCATTGTTTACGTGCGGTCACTTTGTTGTCATTCGCGCGGTGACAGTCGAGCAAGTAGATGAACGACACGACGTCGCATTAATTTTCGAGACGCGATCGCGGGTAATAGATAATAGTATCACGATCATGGTGTGCAAGTGATTAGTGTGTATCAATCCGCGTATTACCTAATTCGATTAAACGATTAAACGTATCGCGGCGATGGCTGTTTGTCGAGGAAAATAATATTTTGCTCCGCTATTTTCGCGCGCATGCGAGGTTAGTCTCTAGAGATATCGCGGACGACCGTGAAATACCACGAACTTTGCGCTTTTCCCGCGAGATTTTCCCGCTTTTCTCGGGTTATTTCTCGCCCTTAATTAAGTGCGCGTCGCCTGCCATTGAACTAGGAAATGCCGTGCAAAATCAATTATATTAATGTGTGATTAGCACGTGCGTGAACGTATTTGTTTTTGCGAGTGAGTGCTTAATTGTAATTAATTGTGTTTTCGCTAGTGAATGTCACGAAGGAGCGACAACGGTGAAATAAGAGAGGAGAAGAAAGCCCAAGGCGGCATCAGGCGATGGAACATGAACTATGCTGTGTAATTCGGTCACTGCGCAACGGACTGGTGAGTTTAAAATATTATTTATTCTAGTTATGAGATAATGGATTTGTGAAAATTATCATATATATGTATAAAATGTATTTATAAGATGACAAATATTAGAATCGAATCAAACAATTTATTAAAGTATTTTTCTGACAATTATTAATATCTAAAAGTTTGCATTTAAATTTGCAATGTTAATAAATGCAACAGTAAAATTTTATTTATTATTTGTTTCAATAAAGTACTTGATATTAGAAACCATTATTTATTTAAAAATAATTTTAAGAATAATAAAGATTATATTTGAAAAAATATTAAAAATTTTAATTAAGAATATAGAAATATTATTGATATATATACTTCACAAATCCATTATGCCTTAAAATGGACAGCTTAGGACAGATTGAGCTAAATATTTAATTGTGTGTGTTCTTTGTATTGAAAAGATAGAATTAGAACTGAAGTGGATTATACGGATGAAAAAACTAACTGTTCTCAAAATGTCCCCCCTTAGCTCCAATACACTTTCGGCATCGAGTAATGATTGATCTAGTCACTTTACAGATTTCCTCCTGATTCAACTTTAATCGATCAAAAGTCGTATGCGTATCTAACAATAAGTAACAAAAGCATTTTTTGTACGTTTGAAACTGGTTATATCAAAATCTATGAAACGTACAACAATCATTTTGATCTCATTTAAAAAATAATTTTATTTTCTACAACTTTTGTTTCGGTACTTTTTATTAAAAGACGCACATTTTCCATGATATTTGGAAAAATGTGTAAAATAATCACGATTTCAGAGGTTTTTGAGCGATAACTTCTTAAGAAAGCATTTTTCGACCCATGTTTATAGGAAATTTTTTGTTTAGAATTAAATTTCCTATAAGATCTCAAAGTCTGGCTGGAACGTTTGGGGCCACCCTGTATAGACAAAGAATCTTAATATGTGGGTATAAAATATCTTGTTTGTAATTGATTTATTTTACTTTGCAAAAGTATTTCAGAATATTATTTATCTAATATTATTTGTGAAAAGGATACAAATCGATGTTAATAATTTAGTTACGGAGAAAGCATAGAACACATTAAACATTTTTAAAACAATTTCTGGCTTTATAGATTAGTAATTTAATTCTGAAGAAAAAAATTTAATCCATTTTTTTTCAATCTATTTATTTATTGTCGCAGCGCGATTTTTCCTAATTAGTAATATTACTCGAAATATATAGGCAATAACTAAAGGATTGATGGCTCCTTCAAGTTAGAACTCGATCTGTCCTTCGCGAAATAACCCTTCGAGGCATACCGTAATCACGCATTAATTATGCTCGCGTTGCGTGTAACCACGTAAAATAAGTTCAGATAAGTGTGGTTTGCCGTGTAACAATCTCATTGCGAAAAAAATAAAGACCCAATTATTTTCTCCTTCCCCCCATTCTATTCGCTTCTTTATCTCATATTTTCATCTATTTTCCGTTTTTAATCGAACGGTCCCTCTACATCCACGACGGATAATCTGATATTCGTAGCATATGTGCAAGGAGAAATTATCTTCCGCGAATAACTCTATATTATCATTCTGTTCAATCATCCGCGGCGCTTTTAAATGGTTATGTTACGCATTCCAAAGAGAGAGAGAGAGAGAGAGAGGGAGAGAGAGAGAGAGCTTATGCCTTCACAGATGCTTCTTACTAAAGGCGAACAAAATTAGCAAAATTATAAACCAAATAGCATATGAGTTAGTCACACGAAAAATAACTTGACATCATTAAATTGCGAGTAATAAAATTAATACTAATTATTTACAGTCAATCTTATATATAAATATTTATTTAAAAATATTATTTAGTAGAATATATAATATATCGAGTTTTATATGTGTATATATATATAAATATACTCAAATTTTTTACAAATAATTCTTTATATTTATGAAAGAAAATACATATTTGGCTATCATTTTATTTGTGCCACAATATTGACAAATAAAAGTTTATATTTTTTGCAAATCACAATTTTTTAAAAATTTGCACACGTGGAAAAGATGTTTTTAAATTTATTGATACGTTTGATTTGATGACGAAATTTATAATGTTTGAAGTAGAAATACGGTTTTATAAGATTTGATATCAGATTTATAATAAAAAATAATGCGAGACTAATTTTTGGTTGACAAGGGTTAACTGAACTGACTCACAAATCGTCGACGTGACACGTTCGCGTGTTCCTTGTACCGTTGAAAAGATAGGAATAGAACTGAAGAGGGTCGTGTAGACGAAGGATGTTATGTAACGAGACGCTTCTTCACCCACGTCCCGACACCGCGTGACGCAACGCGAAAAGAGTTTGTTCGAATGGCGCGTGTGCTAAAATTACGCGGGCTAATATACGCACCGGTGTTACGTTCTTAATGCGTATCGACTGCCGTTGAGCCTTTCTTGGATTCCTTATCTATCTTAAGCAATACATTTTTTAGCAAATTTTTCTCTAACGATAAGTTATATAATAAAAAGAATATAACAGTTAATATATATAATTTATAACAGTATTATATATATTAGAGATGTATTTCTTTCATATATTTAAAATCTAAAGTCTAAATAAAAATTTAAAAAAATATGTTTTAAAATATTTTTGGAATACATACATATATACGTATACATATATCCAAAATCTAAAATAAAAAAACATTTTATATAATCAGAATTAAATATGTCATAAAATTTTCAATTAATATCAAAAGTTTTATTATATACATTTGCTTAGTCAATTGTAGTCATTGAAAAAAGAAAATAATTTTTACTCCGAGAATCCAAGAATGTTCATGATTCGCGGATTAAGGAAATACCCGGAAAGTGCAGCAAGCTCGCTTGGACAGGCGGATAAAAATTCACTTGACTTCATGCCGCAGCTGCCTCGTCGAGTGAAATAACCGGCAATACGAGCATGCACCGAGGCTGCAACCGTCTCGCGTACCATGAGTGCATCGGAGTGCACAACGGGTTTACCGGAGGCAAACCAGCGGTAGACTTCTTGCTGTCGCAAGCGAAATGTTACATTTTCCGAAAGACGTGTCACAAGTCAAAGAAAGTAAAATATCTTTTTTAGAGAGAAGTAGAATTCGACTTTTACTAGAACCTCCCAATAAAACTGAATATCAATTCGTATATCTTTGCAAATTTTATATTTTATGGTATATTTATTATTATTATTAGGAGTTCTTTCTATAATCTAATATATTTATTTTTGAAAATTATATAAAGGATTCAAATTTTTGGGGATAAGATCGGTTTTGAATTTAATTATAATTTTATACTTCTTTGATATTATATAGACGTCAGGATAAAAATTGAGCACAAGATAATCGCCTCAAGATATTTTAAAATTATAGATTCCTTTACATATAATTTGCACTAAGATGCTTTATCAGTGCGTTGGTATCTTCGTTAATGAATTGAATAATCAAACCCGATATATAGTTTATCGATAAGTATAAAGGTTACAGCGAATAGAAAATTCTTAATGATAGCAATGATATTGATAACAACTATGGAAGTATCGAGAGATATCGTTGATATGTACCTAATAAGCTTTGATAAAGCAAAGCAGTCTCATATACTTGTCTTTAAAGTTTAATACGGATATAAGAGTAGCTTAAAGCTAGAAATGTTCGGAACATGCGGGGTAGAGTCGATTATGATAAATATCTGTGATAATGAGCAAATCGTAGCAATTTTACGCGTAAAACGCGTGCAAAATGTTTAATCACAACCTGTTTGACTCGAAAAGCGGGGAATTTTATGCATTAACACGCTTTATATCACTATACATTATGATGGAAGTTAAAATCATTTAAGTGCATGTGATTTAGAAAGTATAGGAGTTATTTTAATATTTTTAGTCTACTGTAAACGATCTCGCGATAAAATGTGTAACATTAAAAAAATAATAAACATATAAACAAAATATTGTCTTGAATTTTGTAGCAAATTATAAATTGTCTAACACACAGTGGACTATATTAAGATTTTTGATAGAGATATGAAAATATAAAAAAAGTTATTTTAAAAAAGGTATTACTATTCGCTACACATGGATAAAATATATTAATATTCATATATTTTAATATTAATATTAAATGTATGTGTGTACCAATATTAATATTTTACCATGTATTGTTTTATTGCAAAAATAACGAAAAATACAAATAGACTAATAGACGAGCAAGCAATTTTGGTATTTAGATTTTAGATAATTTTTATTATTCAAAAAATTACATTTTTAACTTAATTTGTTTTTTTTAATTAGCTTCTAAAATTTTCTTTGACCCAGACCGTTTTCAGGCAAAACTGTATTAAATTACGTAATTGGCAAGGATAGCAAATGCGGCTAAAATCGAAAAATCTATGAGTCTGATTATAAAATCAATTATTATTCGAGTCGAGAGTTTAAGGCGGAAGGTATTCATCGAAGAATGTTAATTATAAATTAAAAAACGCTTTTAAACGCAGGCCAAAGATTAGAGTTACAGTTATATTAATAGAGAAGATTATGATCATAATCACACGATCCATAATCACAAACGATTAAGTATCATGAAAAATCGACAATATTCGAAATAACACACAATGTATACTGAATAATTTTACAAAATACTATAAATGATTCTGACACATTTTTTTCCAGCCTTGCAAACATTTTGAAATTATGAAAAGTTGCATTTAATAGGTGTGCTTATATACACATATATACATCTATTAAATTATCTATTAATTATTTTTTAGAATATTTACAATTTCCGACAACAATTAGGATAGAATTCTATCTATAATTTTATGTTGTATGATACAGAAAATATATTTGAAAGAATAAAATACAATACAAAATATATATCACATACAAAATATGCGACTTGTAAAATTATTAATAGATACTTGTCTTGAATTTTCTCGTGAATTATAAATAATTTAAAGTAGGTTTAATATAATATTTCTCTGTCAACATATTTATAT